CTTGGGGGGGTCCTGGTATACAATCACATACAGTAGAAGCCAGAAAGTTGGAATATCATTATCGTAACCCCTTTAAGGTAAATTATAGGGGATCCTACCATTAATCCATATTCCAACTTTCTGGAGTTCCCTTTAGAATCTTGCATTCAGGATGTTGGAGTTTCCCAGTGCTCTTCCGTAGCTTGGCGACCTGACCTCGAACCCCAAGCCTAGGCGCCTCAACCTGAAATCGGGTTCTAAGGAGGTTTTACATCGGAAATAGCATTTTGAGTTTAGCAGAAACTCCAGTACGCCAGTATCAATGGCATTTAAGGTCCCGTAAAAGAAGCAGTACCTTGACATCAGGGATACTTGGGACTGGGGAAGGACATGCAGAAGACTATCGCCAAGAACATGACTTGGGCCGCGTCCTCGGACAGCCCTAAACCCGAAACTCTAAATCCCTAAAGCCCTAAAGCCCTAAACCCTAAAACCCTACATCCTAAAATCTTGAGGATGAGTGCAGGTGCAACAGGGGGTTCAACAAATGGTAGTTTCCAAAAATACAGGACACTAATATAGCACTCTGAATAGTAGGATCCTTATTACAAGGATCCCAAAATAAGGTACCCCCAAGTTTCGGAAACTCCCAAACTTTAAATCCTGAAACCCTGAGGCCTCAAAGCCCTAAAGCCCCACCTTGCTGTTCAGGACTGGGTTGAGCCTCTCCAAAACTTAGGGTTTTGGGATTAGGGATTAGGAATTCGAGCTTGTAAGTTGTAACTGACCCTGGGTATGACGTTTTGTATACTCCTTAATGAACGGGTTTTGGAGACTGATCCCAACCGCCCACATCTGAAAAGTCATGACCTACGCTAAACAAATCCAAGCCGATGTGCACTCGGTCCGGCGGGACACGATGAAAGGGCTACTTAGAGGATCATGGGACGTAGTAAGTAGGTTTTAGCTGGGGTTATAAGTCCCCTAAGTGGGGTTATCCTAATTATAGCCTACTTATAACCCTACTTACTAAGTCCCATGATCCTTTAAGTAGTCAGGTCAGATCCCTAGTCCCAAACCATGGATGAGCCCATGGACACCGCCGGCGTTCTTGGTTGGATCAAACCCGGGTGACCTTCCTGGCGGTGAACCAGCAGGTCAGCCTATTGAGGATTGACAGGGGGCGTCAGAGTTCAATCCCCAAGCATTCAGCCCTAAGCCCTCAAGCTAATCAACACCTCGACCGGAAATTAGACATGTCTGCCTGGGGCTGCGACACCTGCGGCTTGGGCATTTGGGCACCAGCCAGTCGCTGCGACGGCTGCCACGCAGAAGAGCGCCTCAAGCATGCAGTGGCTCAGCGAGATGTTTTCATCCTCCTTTGTGCATTCCTTGGAAGCTGGCTTCTTTTTTCCCTCGAAGAGGCATCTGTGACCACTGCAGAGGTCAAGCAGTACGGCAGCGGCACTACGCTGTCTCTTTCCCGGGCCTGGGGAAACACTCCGGTTTAGGGGCTCAAGGGTTCAGGGGTTTAGGAAGTTTAGGGGCTCAGTGGTTCAGGGGTTTAGGGGTTCAGGGGTTTAGGGGTTTAGGGGTTCAGGGATTTAGGGGTTTAGGGGTTTAGGGTTCAGGGGTTTAGGGGTTTAGAGTTTAGGGTATAGGGTTTAGGGGTCTAGGGTTTAGAGCTTGATAGGATCGTGATGTTGGGGTTTAGGGTTGGTTGCATTGTTAGAGTCCATTCTTATAGTATCTGAACTTGCCCCTGAATTAAGGGTCCTTACTATGCTGCTTCAATGCCCTGACCCTAAGCCTCAAACCCTAAAACCTAAACCCTGACCTACTCTGCTGCCTCACGGCTTTTCAAGTTGGTGTATTCCATCCATTGATGCTGAATTATTAAGGAGGTAGAGACGAAGGTACCGTTTTCAGTGGGCTTTTTAGAGATTTGGGGTTGGGGTCCAGGGTGTAGGTATAGGTTTTGGGTTTGAGCTTTACAATGTGGTTTAGAGTCAATGGCCCTACCAAAAACCTACACCCATTTCCCAAGCCTAGACCCCAGCGAAACCCCGACCCTCTAAACCCCAAACCCAACCCTACACCCTGAACCCTAAACCCGGAAGAACCTACTTTTTAGGGCCCCTAATGTGATTTCTTTATATAAGTCACTAAAAAGGTAGGTTTTGGGGGGTTAAGGTGAACCCTAAGCCCAAACCCCAAACCCTAAGCCGAAAATTCCAAGGTGAGCGCCAACAAGACAGAGGCTGCAGCCGAGAAGTTGACAGAATTCGAGTCGCAGGGCGCCCTGGGTGTTCTTTTTGGTTTCGTTCTAGGGATTAGGGCTTAGGGTTTTGGGGTTTGGGACTAGGGTTTAGGTTTTGCATGTGAGTTTTGAGGAGTATTCATAGTTTATTAAGCCTTTCGCATGGATTATGATTATGAGAGGATTGTGGACATGCTCATAGGTTGTGACAGGGGCCTGAGGTTAGCGCACTAGCACTTGAGGGTTTGTTGTTTTGTTTTGGAGTTCGTGGTGTAGGACTTGATGTTATGGGTCTGGGCCAGCGAACCTAGGCCTTAGGTTGGGCATAGGGTTAGGTTGTGGGGTTGGGACCGGTTGGGTGGGTCTGCATCGGTTACCTTCAGCCGTAAATCCATACCCTAAACTTTCCCTAAACCCTAGGTTGTCCGTTCTGTTTGGGGCGTCTGACCACGGGTGCCGGCATGAACACCTCACATTGACGGCATCAGTGGCGTGCTTTAACCCGGGCAGCAAGCTGAAGAGGTTTTGTGAAAGCAGCGCATGTTGGAGGAGCAGTTTTCGAAGTTTCAGGTACACTGCTGTCCCGATGCTTTGTGCGATGCTCACACACCTGACTTCTTTCTGGGTGATGCTGACAGCTTGTCGGAAGACGCTTACCAACTGGTGCTGGGCGCTTGGCGAACCATGTGCTGGAAGCTCGCTTGGAAAATGCTTTCCAGCTCCAAGTGCAGAACCTTTTTCGGTTGATCCACGTGTTCAGTGTATTTCGCCCAACGACCTCAGTCTGGACCAAGGACAGTCCTGAAGGTGTAGGGGCCTCAGCGACTTGAAGCTGCAGCCTACATCCGTGTTGCCCTACTCCAAAATGTTCTTGGATGCTGCCGGACAGGCGTATTCGTGGAGATGTAAGCATTGATGTTCGGGAGCTTGAGTTTGATGAAGTTCCTGAGTTACTTTTGAGAAGTTTAGGGTTCAGGGCTTAGGGGTTTAGGGCTCAGTTTAATGCCCTAACATCGGAACGCTGAAAGGATGCCTACTCTGAAGCCCTGCGCTAAGCTCCCAAACCCCTCTCAAATGGAAGCACTGCAGTTGGTTACAGTCCGGCACAGCTACATATGTATTTTAGGGTTAGAAAGCATGTGAATTTGCTCTAAACATGTTTAGCTAACAAGGTTTTACCGCTAGTGCCCTGAGTTCCTTTGTTGTTGTGCGGGAACTTCACAACTGAAGAATAGAAACAGGGACCGAAACCCAAGCCCTAAACCCTAAACATGCCCTGCCCGATTCGACCCGATCGATACCGATCCACCCGACCCGATTCCCGGCGATTTGTTGCGAGTTACCGATCCCGGAATTGAACCTAGCACTGGGTCTGAGCGTAAGGGCCTAACCGCTAGTCCAGAAGCAGCGCTGGGAGTGGAGTTAGGGAGGGAGGCAAAAAACGAGTTAGTGGCTGCCACAAATCGATTCAGGCAGGGCGGGGGCCAGGGGAGGGCGGACAGGGCAGGGCGGGAGCAAAAACGAGTTTGTGGCTGCCACTAGCTCGATTTTTGTTTTGCACAACGGGGCAGGGGGGCAGAGCAGGGCAGGGCGGGAGGCAAAAACGAGTTAGTGGCTGCCACTTAGTCGATTTTGGTTTTGGGCAGCGAGGGCAGGGGTGTCAGGGCAGGGCAAGGCGGGAAGCAACAACGAGTTTGTGGGTGCCACTAACTCGATCTTGGTTTTGGGCAGGCGGGCAGGGCAGAGCGGGAGGCAAAAACGAATTAGTGGCTGCTGCCACTAACTCGGTTTTGGTTTTGGGCAGGCTGGGCAGGCAGGGCAGGGCGGAGGGCAAAACGATTTAGTGGTTGCCACTAACTCGATTTTGGTTTTGGGCAGGTTGGGCAAGGCAGGAGCAGGGCGGGCGGCAAAATCGAGTTCGCGGCTACCACTAACTCGATTTTGGTTTTGGGCAGGCTGGGCAGGGCAGAGCAGGGCCGGAGGCACAAACGAGCTGCCACTAACTCGATTTTGGTTTTGGGCAGGCTGGGCAGGGCAGGAGCGGGGCGGGAGGCAAAAACGAGTTAGTGGCTGCCACCAACTCGATTTTGGTTCAGGGCAGGGCAGGGCAGAGCAGGGCAGGGCAGGGCAGGGCAGGGCAGGGCAGGGCAGGGCAGAATCGAGTTAGTAACTCGATTTTGGTTTTGGGCAGGCTGGGCAGGGCAGGGCGGGAGGCAAAAACGAGCTAGTGGCTGGATGCTACCTTGGAGTATCACAAACAGCCTACCGGGCACAGAGTCTGAAATTTCATCCAGACAAGTAGACTAAGTAGACTGTCTGGTTGTTAGTAGGGAATGGGGGAATGGATTATGGAGGCTATTGTTGGGGATTATATTGGGCTACTATAGGGATCCATTCCCCCAACCCCACTAAGCACCAGACAGATTCGACGTAGGGTTTGGGGTTTAGGGGTTTAGGCTTTAGGGTACCCTAAACCCTAAGCTCAGCGATGGAAGCCTGTGGCGGCCAGGAAGAGGGCCGGAGTAAAGTCGCAAGACCGAGCTGACTTGCGCTGAATTGCGTTTGCGGTCAGGATGGTTAAGGGCAAGGACCCAGAGAGCCCTTAATTAAGGAATATGCCTTCAGTTATAAGGGGCCTCATATTATGAGTGAAGCTATATTCCTTAATTAACGGGTATTGGGCTCTCTAAGGATGTGCGGGAAAGCAAGCCGCATCCAGAAGCAAGCATGAACTGCGTCAAAGATGTTATTAGAAGAGACGATGCGCGACCCCAAGCCGCTAATTTGAAAAACCCTAAACCCTAAACCCTAAACCCTAAAATACACAAAAACTGACACCCCTAAGCCCCAGAAGGCCCAGAAAGCACCAGAAAGCACTAAACCCTACCCCCCTAAACAGCAGAGCCTTCAATGTCTAACAATCATAAATCGTCTTCCAGAAAACAACCATAGTAGAGTAATTATAGTTATAGTATAGTCGTCGATCCCAAGCCCCAAATATATTTTTTAGGCGCTTCTTCTATGCTCTTGTAGTATCCCTTGAAGGAACCCGTCAAAGGAACCCTATTCCAACTGTTCAAATTCCTGATCTGAGATGATTTAAGCTATGTTCCCTGTTTGAGGGGTACTGGGTTTTTTTGCAGATTAAGGTTTAGAACCAGCGTCTCCGAAAGCGATTAACTAGCTCTAAATGCATACGTCGGAACGACTTGGGCCCACGAAACCTACTTTTTGTAAGCTCCCTGTAAATTCGATATCATGGCTTTCATACAGCCTACCAAAGCGTAGGCTATGGTAGCTTAAGGTAAGGTCTACTCCTCTATTAAAGGGGTTTGGAAGGTCTCTGAATCCAGATACCAGATTCTACGTTGGATACTGCCCCGACTCGATAGCAGCTGAATAGCATTTTCACAGGCCCTCGGCAGTAGCCCTGGTATATGATATAGACTGTTACAACCCTAAAATGTTACTGTATGGGAGCGCTACCCAGGTTCTACATCTGAAAGGCTTCGGGGTTTCAGCTTGGAAGTCACTGCCGAGGTGGTGGGCCAAGAAGCAGGAGCAGCAGAAGGGGCCACTGCCCCGGGACACTCAAGCCTCGAAGAACCAGAGTTTAGGGTTTAGGGTTTAGGGTTTAGGGTTTTAAGGTTCACGGGTTTTACTTACAGGCTCACGGGACTTAAGTTAGGTTGTATTTTTGGGTTAAACGTGTCCCAAGTAGGGTTATCCTAATGGTAATCTTACTTAATACGTCCAACGAGCTTTTAAGCTGCTACTACTAGTACATACTACCACCACTACCACTACCACTACCACTACCGCTTCGGCTACTGCTACTGGTACTGCTACTGCTACTGCTACTACTACTACTACTACTACTACTACAACTACTACTACTACTACTACTACTACTACTACTACTACTACTACTACGCGCAGGAGTAGAGGTTTGCCCACGGCATTTGGGCACTTACGCATCAGCATTCAGGATTCAGGGTTTCGGCTGCGCGTGAGTCTTTGGATTCCAGGACTATTGTCTTATGTCTTCTTCTTTCGGTGCGTTTGTGTCTTTGGATGCAGATTTTCTGCCTTATGTTTTCTTATTTGTATGGTGCATCAACACTGTCTGCTCCACCATCTCGCCCGCGTGATTACGAACATCTTCAGCAACATCGACCTCCAAGTCAACACCAAGTGCATGTGAGGTCAAAGCAGTAGCAACATGTCTTCCGCTCATGATGATGTCTGATGATGCTGATAGGCTCTTCTGTCGTCCTGGTGGTGTTGACGATTAAGATGGTGAGAATGAATAAAACTCCCAAGAACTTAACAACCCTCCAAGTCTCTTCGGTGTGCGAGCTCTTGCTTCTGCCTCGACTTCTGGTCTCTGGGCAGAGGGAGCAAGTGCTGCAGTGACGCACCAGAATATGGCAAGCTTGGCTCAATGATTCTGTGCCCGCAAGTTCCCTCTGACTTTCGCACGTGGCCGTTGGCGGTGCAGGTGAACGTGCTGTCCTGTCTTTCGGTTGCGGACCGCACACGTCTGCAGTGGTGTAGCCTTGTGCAGCACGAACCAACACTCACGAGGCCATGGCAGCGCATAGTATGCTTATGCCAGCTTTCCGCGGTAAGCTGACTACGACCCCAGTCTTTGGAGTAGTGGCTTTAGAGCTTTCAAAAGGGCCATAACGAAGTCATGAAGATTTTCATGTAGGAAGATGCGATGCTATAATGGTATAGGATTTAGGGTCTACTTGGAGGTTCATGGGTAGTTATAACAGTGGGGATATAAGTCCCTAATATGATTCGTAACTACAGGTAATTAACCTGCTTATAACCTGGCTTATAACTACCCATGAACCTCGAAGTAGGAATCCGAGGAACAGTTGCAACATGGCAGAGCTGGAGCCCAAAACCTTACCTTTATAATTTACGGACTCATGGTTTCAGGTTTTCTGGCCCACAAGGACCATGCTATCTTAAGGCTAACATTATCGGTCTCAGGGCCTGCATGTTGGCTGACAATGCCCTGCAGGCTGTTACAAGGACTCGAGGGCTTCCTGCCGCCACCACAAGCTCCGTCGCCAGCACCCACTCAGCTAGACCCGCCGGAGGTGGACGTGCAGGACCTCGGCGGCTTCTTAGACCCGGAGACACCTCCCAGAGCACTTCGTCGCCAGCCTCTTGAGTACACGCCACCGTGACCATGGGCAAAGGAGGCCTCAAAATCAAACCCAAAAGCAAACTTGGGAACCGCAGGAAGATCAAGAAGGACCAGCAGCTGCAAGACCTCAAGACGAAGAACGCAAACTTCAAACGGCATAACATACAATACGCACCGACCACAGCTCCGAAGCAGTCCGTGGCCTTGAAAGAGTTGCAGGAGGAGATCTCCTACCCTGAGATCGTGCGCAGCACCGACAAGGCCCTGAAGTCCATGCTCCTGGCCGAAGGCGTGCTGCGCGCGAAGACACAGCGGCCCGTGATCATGTGTTGGTCCTGCGGCAGCCGCATGGAAGCCGCAGACAGCCGAAGTAGCTCACTCCGCTGCTCCGGCGGGCGTGCATGCCCGACGCGTGCCAGGCTGAGCAGTGTGGACGATGCCTTCACGCCCTTCGGCCCGACAGCAGCATCTGGATGCGACAAGGACTTCGCAGCCTTCGTGAGAACCGCATGGTGCTACGGCATGAAGGCAAGCGTGCGACATATGTAAAACTCAGACGTGTGTACCAGTATTGCACAGTAAAACCCCTGGCCGTCTCTCGAGGAACCTGAACATACGGCATCATGGCAGACGTGCGACATATGTAAACCGCACGCGTGTGTACCAGCATTGCACAGTAAAACCCCTTGCCGTCTCTCGACGAACTTGAACATCAGCGATCCTGCCGCCTGGGAAAAGTAGCAAGACACGAATACTACATCGAAGCATTGGTGTTTGCCTCCTTGTCAGCGAGACGGAAGATCCAGGAATTAAACATCCGTTTGAAAGCCACTCAACCAGGAATAAGACATCAAAGTATTGCCATCGCCCGCTGTCCTTAACAGCATTCAAAGACGAATACCACACGGACGCTAGTTGTGAGTTTTTCTGTTGAGTCAACTGTGTTTTCGTTCTAGTGTCGAAAGAATACTCTTTTGTGCCGCGGTGCTTTTCGGCACTAGCTGTCACACAACTAGCGTTTTCTGCTTGGCATCGCATGCTAGAATATTTTTTCACCCACCCTCCACGCCCTGGGGATGGCTCGGCATCGCTTGCCTCTTTCCTCTGGCGAGCAATGCGTCGCAATGCAGTGCGTCCTTCGAGCAATCTCTGCGGACAAAGAGGGAGTCCGTTCGCCATGCACTCCTGTATCTTTCGAAATAGAATAGAGAACGTAACTGAGCTATTGATTCACGCTTTGTTTCCGAAGATGTCCCAAAGTTGCTCGGGCGGAGATGAGAGCTGGAGGGAACTGCTGCGAGCGGCTTCGCTGGCTTCCGTGGCTGCCTGTTCGCGAGCGGGGGGACTGGGAAGCGAAGAAAAGCGCGAAGCTGAACTACGGAAACGGTGCGGGATGAGACCCGGGTGCACGCAAGGGGGAGAGAAGGCGAAGCGTGCTTTTCCTTTTAGCTAAAAGGAAAAGCACGCTTCGCCTTCTCTCCCCCTTGCGTGCACCCGGGTCTCATCCCGCACCGTTTCCGTAGTTCAGCTTCGCGCTTTTCTTCGCTTCCCAGTCCCCCGGCTCGCGAGCAGGCAGCCACGGAAGCCAGCGAAGCCGCTCGCAGCAGTTCCCTCCAGCTCTCATCTCCGCCCGAGCAACTTTGGGGCATCTTCGGTGGCCGCACCCCCTGCATGCTGCCCTGGTTCAAAAATCCAAATACATAGGTGGGTATGTCAATAAAGCCGGTGTTTTTCATGTTTGTTTCGGGAGCGATGTCTCAGCACAAACTTCTCTAATTTCTTGTGAAGTCCACCCGGTTGAAATGAATGTTCTCATTGCAACCCAGGCAGGAGCCAATAGAAGGCATTTCCAACAGTAAGCCATAGGAAGCCTGTACGACAACCAAACAGAATCCAACCAGGATCCACAAGGAAGCATTGACAGTGCTGAAGTTGAAGCAATACCCAGCCAGGAGCTTAAACACGGCAAGGGGTCAATACTGCGCAATACGCATGCGCAGACACGCAACACACGTAGACATACACATGCATAGACATAGACAAGACATAAAGACATGCACATATACATACACATATACATATACATATACATATACATATACATATACATATGCATATACATATGCACACACATACACAAGCACATACACATGCACATATACATACACATAGACATACATATGACATAGACATATACATATACAAGCGTATACATACACATTATCATCCTATGCATTATATCTTTCACATCTACTGGGAAGCCAGCTTAGTGTAAGTAAAAAAAAGGCCGCATAGTGTAAGTGCGAGACGCTGTGTCTTCCATTCAGACGTCAGGCCGGGGCAGATCAGACAGCTCATCTCATCCGGGAGCCGGGCGAGAATCTGCTCACAGTGCACAAAAAGGTGCAGCGATACAGACAGCTGCATGCCATCGCTTTGGCCTACAGCGAAATGCTGCACGCGCAGCAGGTCCGCTTCGAGTACGACATCGTAGAGCCAGACAGTGCGCGCTTCGGGAAGCGGGCGACAGAAGATGGTTCCGCTCGCACGCACGTGGGCAGGAGCTTGAGACTGAAGAAGTTGTATGGAGTCAGGTCAAAAACATGTGAATAAGCAGCTACTTTGATTCCCATGGGCCGCCGTGCATAGAGAGCTTAAGTTTCAGCCTTGTACGCCCTACCCTTAGTCACCATTGAATTCCCAAACTGTGAACTTAGCAATCACACAGTATCTGGACACAGGACGTTGGTCTTGAAGGGGCGCAAAAGCAAGGAATGGACGGCAACTCCTCTGCAACCAAGTCAGTCACTGGGCAAGCGCGGCATGCCACCCGAGTCTCTGGACGAAGTCTTGGGTCCCATGCAGAAGCAGATCCGTCGTGGGTGCGTTGTCGCGCCCGACGGCGGCCAAGCCTTCAAGGCTGCCGCGGCTGCCTTGCAGAAGCCATTGCTGCCTGGGGTGAGGCATGCGCAGAAGCTTTTCACGCCCACAGCCAAGTTGCCAGCCTCTACTTGCCAGACGGAGACGAAGAAGAGGACGCTGACGAAGAACATCGCCAAGAAGTCCGGGCGAGACTACATCATGGCTGCTGGTGACAACTGCGCAGAAGGATTGCTTGGCAACATTAAAACAACGCTCAGGACCGGAGTCTTTCGAGTAGCAGCGTACACAAACCGACCAAGTGGCAGCTTCATTTCTCGGTTTGAACAGTTTCGTCTTTTCTTCGGTTGTTGCTTCCAGGAGATCTGGTGGCATGCGCGCGCAGAGAGACAAGCTTTCTTCACTTCGTTCTCTCAGTGCAGCCGCTCTGCTTCGACAGCCGGGCTTGCGAAGAGTACTTCAGGCACCGTTGGCCCAGAAATCTGTCAGTCTTCTTCGGCTTGGGGTCTAAGATTCCAGACGTCAGGTTTGGCTTTCAGGGATTTGAGATCCTTACTCTTTTTGGGTTGCCGCGTTTCGGTCTGGGGTTTAGCCTGGTGTAGAGCCTCCCCGACTACTCATCATCTGCGGCAGGCGCACGCAAATTATCGACGTGCGCTGGAATCCGGAGTTTTGAAGCTTTCACCCACGCAGGCTTATGCTGTTAACAGCATTTCCTGGCTCGGACTGGCAGAAGATCAGGCCGAGAAGTAGCAGTAGGCAGCTTCTGCGCGCAGCCAGCTTTCCGGCACAATCTCCCCCGAAACCTCAGCCCTTCCTTAGGGAAACCTACTGCAGCACAGAAACGCACAAGCCATTCGCAGCTTCAACTCGGGAGTTCGGGCAGAAGTTTGGCGCCGACAAGCTCGGGAGGACCCCTCGCAGGTACCGCGCCTGCCACGAAAAAGAGACGCGGCTGTGGATGCAGCCAAAGAGGCGCGGGCAAACCTACGCCTCTGCCCGTACTACTACTACTACTACTACCACAACTACTACTTCCACCACCTGCCCTGCGACTGCGAACTACTACGACTACGATTGCCAGTACGGCGACGACTCGCTATGCAATGGCCGACTCGCTCTGCAATGGCGAAGCGAAAAGCCAAGTGCCCTCTCTGCGAGCGCCTTCACCCACTTCGATGCCTGAAAAAGCCGTCCCGGCGCCGAAGATGACGTCCGCCCTGGGTTCGGATTTAGGCTGACGCTCGGGCTGCAGTACCCGTGCCACTTGCCCTCCTCGTCCTTGGCCCCTAGGCCAGCATATCTAGGCATGGGATACTCGTTGAGAGCAACGCGAACAACTCCGGGCCTGTTTATTGCCGATGGAATAATTCCTCACCCCTGCATTCTAGAAGTTGGAGTTTCATGTTATCCTAAACCCTCCTTACACCTTCAACCGATTTTAGAGCTTCTGAACTTAGCAACTAGGCAAAGACGTTAATTAAAGGCCATCCAACTTTGGACTCAGGGTTCAACCAGGGGACCTGGACACGGGTTTAGGGTTCCTTTTAAAGGGATCCTTGACTGGGATCTAAAAGGGTTTAGGGATTGAGGGTTGTGGTTTTTGGACGGTTGATGGTTTAGGACTTTGGGACTTTAAGACTTGTCGGGTTTAGGGATTTCGATTATTTACGATGTTGGGCTTGGGCTTTAAATGTCCCATGAGGACTTGTGTGGAACTTGTGCGGTTTCGGGCCGAGCCTGTGGGGTTCAGGGCTTTGGGCAGTCCAGGACCCCCCAAGTGCCCTTTAAAGGGCTCTAATATTTCTCATTAAGTGGTAAGTAAAGATTACAATAAAGGGTAGTTGGGGGGTCTAGGGTGGGTTGGACTTCTAGGGTTTAGGGTTCAGGTTTCGTTTGCGTAGGGTGGTTGTCAAAATTAGGATCCTTTTTTGGGTCCTTGTTCTAATACGGCACCTAATATTTAAAGGATCACAATTTTGACAGCCACCCGGACTAGTCAAACATTTCCAATGTTCGTCGTGTGCTGTAAACTTATTCGATGCTCGTCGTGTGATCTCTTTGAGTCTCTCCATTGCAAGCTCTGGCCAAAACCCGAACCCCGGAACCCACAAACCCCAAGAGCAACAAACCGTACTTGAAGGCTCATGGGACTTAGTAAGTAAGGTTATAAGTAGCTTATAATTAGGATAACCCCACTTAGGGGACTTATAACCCCAATTATAACCTACTTACTAAGCCCCATGATCCTCTAAGTAAAGCCCACAAGCATTCACACGCGAAACCCCAAACCCTAAAACCCCAACTCTGACATGCTAACCCCAGAGCCTAAAAGCCAAGGAAGCTCTAAACCCTAAAACCCTGGACCATGTAAAACCTAGGCCTAAAACCTTAATCCCCCTATTGGGTACAGCCCAGCAAGAGCCTGAGCCTCACACCCAAGTCCACCTGAAGACACCGAAGCTTCAAGCACAGTCATGGTTCACCATGAGCTCGCACGAGTTTGGGGATGGTGTTTCCTTGGTGTAGTTGTACTTCTCCATTCCTTACCAGGGTGTATATTACCGTGGTGCTGGTGCTGGTGGTGCTGACAGTGATTCCGGTGGTGGTGGTGATGTCTTTCGTTGATGGTGGTGGCTTGTTCTCGGTTGTTGTTGTGCGCTTGGGTTTCCGGGTCTGCCGGTGTGGGTCTGAAGGCTTAGGGTGCCAAAAAATGAATGGGAGTGTGTTGTGTCACAGTTGGTTATAGGGCCGCTTCATGATACGTGTGCTCGTTGTGGGTTGTGTGGCTGTGTAGCATTTCAGCCTCGTTCTGGATTATAATAAGGAACCCTTAAAACAGTATGGTAATATTACTTATGCCCCTATAGTATATACTATACTAATTTATAAGGAGCCGGTAAAATAGTATTCGCCATCATTTCTGCTCCACGGTTTGGATTGCTTTCGGAAAAACTATGGGGCTTTTCGCTGGCTTCAGCATGGTCGGGTCTTTGAACTTGACAGACTTGAACTCGAGAGTATAGCCGGGCCAGCAACAACAGAACGCTGATCGAAATCCTGTTTAGCCCTTTAAACCCCAGGCGTCCAATCCCTAATCGCTGTAACCGACATGCCAGAGGCAGTTAACGTTAGAGTTCGTTGCTTGTGCAGTATTGGCCATCTGTAACTTAAAACACTTCACAAAAAATGTTTGAAGAGTTTAGGGTTTTAGGGTTTAGGTTTTAGGTTGCAGGATCTCGGTTTGAAGGATTTAGAGTTCGAGGTTTTAGGGTCCTGGGTTCAGGCGTTTATGGTTTAAGGTTTTAGGGTTTGTAGGGTTTAAGCTTCTAGGGTCTGAGGTTTCAGGACGCTTTAGGTTGCAACTGAGAAGAGTTTAGGTATCTTCAAGTGATGATCATCTTCAATGGGCAGCCTTCCTAGCATGCATCTCCTTTTCTCAAACCTGCAACCCACCGAAGACCATAGTCTTTTCAACGCTAGTCCCCAAATCAAGAGACCCTAAACCCAAACCAAGAGAGTCGCAGCCAAGTGAGGCTTCCCCTTCATGAAGCGCCTGCATACACGAAGCTGGAGGCAGGGTTTAGGGTCTAGGGGTGGAATCTGATGCCAACATCTTGAGTTGGGATGGTGGTGATGATGACGACGATGATGGCAATGTTGATGCCCGATGGTGGAATTTAGGACGATGATGCTGGCAACGACGGCCACGATGATGCTGAGATGAGAGGGCGGGGTGAAGGGGGAGAAGGAGGAGGAGGAGGAGGAGGAGGAGGAGGGACAAGGCGGATGGTTGAGATGATGGGGGTGCCGATGATGGTAGCTAATGAAGATGAAGCTTAAGTTGAACAAGGTTCGTAAGCGTGAATATACTGATAGACGACAGAAGCGCGATGCTGCTGCAGATAAGAATGACCGTCGTCGCAACAACGGCAGTGACAGTACCGTTGAAGACCATGGAAGGGCTAACTGCCAGATTCATGATCATGATGACCATGGCCGCTAAGCTTGGGCTATCATGGCCATGTTCGTGCTCAGCCTAGCCACAACAGTACGCTATGCATTGGGAAGCTAACCCCAGGACCTAAACCCTGAATGGACTTGACCGACGGCTGTCGCAACAGTAGGTGTACATGGTGGTACCGTATGTCGAGAGCTTCATAATACATATCTCATGAGTTCGGATCCTATGTTGGGGTTTGGAAGTCCTTAGTCCACAGCGGAAGCGTCTTTTAGATTTAGGATTGAGTATTAGGCTCTATGGATGGTACAGAATCAAAAGAAAATGGCACAGCCCCAATAGGTCGTCAGCGCCATCTCGAAGGTGAAGAAGGCCGGCTTTCAGGGTTTATCTTCTTACCTTTGGTTAGTGGGGAAGGAGGAATGGGGTACAAGTAAAACTACTATTATTACCATTCTTCCATTCCCTACTAACCAAAGGTAAGTATTGAGGTTCAGGGTTTGTGGTTGCGAGAGACTCGAAGATCGGAGTGTGCCTTACCAAGAGTCCCTGATGCGCCCTAAGGACTCTACTCAATGTGCCTCGATTTGGGTTTTTGGAGGCTGTAGGGTGAATACAGGTTCCGAATAATTAGAATAGGGTCTTGGGTTAAAGTTACTACAGAAGAATTATCTGGGGAGTATACCCAGACCCCCGGGAGGATCCAAAAATTAGATCCCTTAATGGGGGTTCCTATAAAGTATTCTTAGTAGTATAGGGCCCCAAATTAGGGGATCTACTTTCAAGATCCTCCCGCGGGTTGGGCAAAGGAAGAGTATGACTCTCTATTCCGAGAGACTCCAACATCCCTTATTTAAGGAATATACCTTAAACTATAGTAGGATCCTTAATATGCTTTAAGGAATATTCCTTAATTAAGGGATATTGGAGTCTCTAGGTTCCGACCCTGCTGCTTTTTAGTGTCTGGCGATCGACGTTGAGCCCTGTTCTTTCGAATCTTACCGTTAGTAGGGAATTAGAATAGGGTTCCCTTGAAGGGGACTATAAGGGCTACTATAACTACCATAGGGGTTAGTTTTGGTTAGTAGGGAATGGAAGAATGCTGAAAATAGCAGTTATAATTTTACCCCATTCCTCCATTCCCTACTAACCAAAGATAAGGAAGTGCAGCTCGTGAGACGGGAATGGTTCAAAGAGCATTTCAGAGCTGAGTAGTATGGGGAGTTTGCGAAAATAGGGGGAGTCTAGTATAGTACTCCTAGATAGCAGGACACTTATGATCAAGGAACCCAAAAAGAAGGTATGCCTTGCTGAGCCCGAGGCCGTAGTAATCCATGGACCTCTGCAGCAGGACCAAAGTCGATAACTAGGTTTTCTGGATGTAGCCCAAGCCCTAAGCCGGTCCTTAAGACCCGAAAATGTGTTCCTAAACTGCCACAACTAGCCTACTGCTTTCTTTCCATAGACATGTAAACAAAACTCTTTGCACGTTACCGCGGGTCGGGTAGTCATATAAGCCAATTACAAGAAGTCCCCTGTATTCAACTCCGTAAAGCCCTGATTAAACCGCAAGACCCTCCTAACCCTAACTTCATTTAAACCTTAAGTTATACTAAACCCACAACCCTAAAGCGGGAGCCTAAGCCCGAACCCTATATTTCCCTATAGACCGTAGCAGCTATATTACGGCTGAGCCGTAGAACGTCCCGATCGTGAATTCTCTAAAATCGGGTCCTTGTTGAGATCCTTTTTGTACGGGTGCCGTACTATCATTGGGAACAAAAAAAGGCTCCCTCGTCCAGGACCCCCCAGTGGCCCTTTAATGGAGCCCTTATGGTCTTTAATGGTGGGTATTTAGGGTATATTAGAGGGTAGTTGGGGGGTCTAGGGTTTAGACAACTACCCATGTACTCAGGAGTGGGAGAAGCTGAAAAAGACCAAGAAGCCGAAAGAGACGAAGCCCAAGGCGACGATTTTAGGGCCCTTGATACTGTTGATGGACAAAATCCTGCATGACCCTAAGGACTCTAAACTATGGGAACTATGGTATATTCCTTATAATGGGTTAGTATGTTTGCTAGTTTATGAATTTTCTTCGGGTTTTGAGATCCCCAGGCAATTCTTTTTGTAGGCGTTGAATTAAGGACTTGTGCAGGGTTTTTTTCGAGCTCTTTGGGCTTCTTTGATGGTTTTCGGGACTTGGTCGAGCTCTTGTCTTGGGACTTGTTGGGGGGTTTGGGAGCGTTTAGCAGTTTGAGGTGTTCAGAGCGTTTGGGCTTTTGGGTTTTGTTTAGATCTTTATCAAAGGTGTTTAGGGCTTTTGGGCAGAGTATAGGGCACGTGGGCTTCTCACTGCAGTATGTCGTCCCTGGCGGCCACACGACAACAGGCCGCAATTGTTGTAGTTTGTCTTCAAACTTTTGCATGATTTGCTGTTGTTCTGAGTGCCAGCCGGGCCCACGTCACATCTGTTGCAGCGCAGACACATGTTGATCTTCACCAGACAAAACTAAAGCTTCTGAACCAGAAGGCTCAGAGCACTGCACTCTAGGGACTTTATGTAGAGTTTAGGGTTCAGAGCTCAGGGTATTAGATGGAGAAAGAAGAAGTGCAGAGCAGCACCACTTCTAACTCCAAGATTTGCGTTGCTTTGTACCCTAACCCCATAAGCCCGCAAACCCGTGTGTGAAGCCATCAAACCGTCAAACCGTCGATCTCTAAACCCTGAAACCCTTGCTTCGTGGCTGAGCGGATACACTCTACATTTTTTTTGGATAATACTACCCACTATAAAACTAAATGAGTACACTTTTGGGGGGCTTATGAACTCAGCAACCAAGCTTGGCTTAAACTCTAAACCCTTAGCCCTCAAACTGTTGATCTCCAGCCCAAACCCCTAAAGCAGTTCCCTTAACCTCGAAGCCATTCCTAGATCCCCCAACTACCCTTTATTGCAATTCCTAGTTACCTCTTAATGAGAAAGAGCCCTTTAAAGGGTACTTGGGGGGGTCCTGGTTAGCCCTCGAACGTTTGATCTCTAAACCCTTAAACCCTCATCCTCTCAGATCTTAGCAAGCCGATCGTTAGTGCCGCAAGTTGTATGTGTGCAGCTAGGGTTAGAAGCCGAGAAGTAGAATCTTGAGTAGCTCTACCTTCAGGCTCTAAGCCGTATACTACGAAATTTACTAAATCCTACATCCTGAAGCCCAAACCCTAATCCCGAACCCTGAAACACTGTACCCACGATGTATTTCGGTCGTTGAAACTAAAAGACACTGGGACTCAAACATCCGTACTCTCCAAGTTTCCTTGAGTGATAAAGTCTTAGACAGCTCGTGCTATAAAACTCGAAAAACCCCAAACACAACAATCCCTGAGTCCTGCAGTCTCTACTGAACCCTGCAAGCCAAAGCAACGCCCCGCGAGGCCTTTTTCAAGCCCTACCTACCCGACCGCCCACCTCCCACTTACCCAAAAGCCTAAACCCCAAGAACGTCGGGAGGCGGAGAAAAACGCCACAAAGGACAAGGGCGACAAAGCAGCCCCTGAGGCGCCTCCGACGATGTGGTTTGATGTTTGTTTAGATAACTTCTGAGGACCCAGAGTAGGCCCTTATTCCCTTTTTTAAGAGTTCAGGCTCCCTTCTAAGCCCCTTCAAACCAAAAAGGGCACCCTTTTTATTCCTAGGTTACTCTTGGGTCTAGCTTCTTATAGGCTTTTATCAGTACATAGGTTTAGGGTTTTCAGAATTTCGTACATCGGATGGGTTTGCGACATTGGGTGTGCTGAGGGTCTACACAGCCCTGTGATGGGTCCGTATTCGTGGGCCCCCTTGGCTCTGTTTGGGATAGCTAGTGGAGTTTGCTGTATTTTGAACATTTTGATATGAGTGCACGAAATATCAAACGGAGAAACTACTTCTTGCTCATGTTCTCAGATTAGAGGAGTGAACAGTTTCAGGATCTACCTTAAGCCCAAATAACCTACCCTTTCAGGGCTCCTTATTATGATTTGCTTATATGAATGCAATAAGGTAAGGTTTTTCGCGGTCCAGGAGGGTTTAGGGTATCGGGCTGCGAGACACGCTTGAGTTCTGGGCTTGTGGTTTAGGATTTCACATCCACGGCCTCGGGTTAATGGGATTCCTTGGAGATTTTCAGAAGCGGGCAGTACAGCGGGAGCATAAGGTGGAGATATTTCCAAGTCAAGGCCCCCAAACCCTAAACCCTACGCCTTAGAAGGGGCCCCCACCCCTTAATAGTGGTATAATAGGAATATAATAGGGCCCTGATATAATCCTTATAGTCACTATTACAGGGTGGGGGCAGCTTCTAACCTACACCCTAAAACCTAACCTAAACCTAAATCTGGGACTCAGGATGCTGAGCTGGTGGCTGAGGGTTTAGGATGAACAGGCTTTGCAGGTTTCGGGGTCAGGTTTGCTACAGAGTGTGGAGCAATTTGAAAGGACTGTGAAGTTTAGTCTGTCATGCATGTGGGTATTCTAGAGTTTCAGCAAAGAGGACTCGCTGAGATTGCCACCAACTAGTAGAAGCTTACACCAATTGTCCATCATTCGTTGATCGTTTGCATGCTCGACTCAACTCTACCACTCCTCGCATTGTTCCACCATTTGACTTTGTGCGTGTTTGTTAGCTGTCTCCATCTTGTTACTGTGTCTGCTTCGCCTGCACGCCTTCTGCCTCTCGTTACTTGAGTCTCTTCTTCTATTTTCCGGCTAGGGGAATGGACAAGACTAAACCTTGGTTTCTACGATGCGCTCAGTAGACTTTGTGCGTACTATACATGCTATATAAAAGTTTGTTTTTTAGAACTTCTGCATACTACACATAGACTTGGGCAACTTACTTTCGCCAGCAGCACCTGCAAGATGGCGGCGGCGCGAGCTGGCGGTACGGCCTGCGCTCCGATCACCTGGATGGTCCGTCAAGCCAACAGCAACCAGAACGATCATACTGTTGATGATATAAATCCTTCATTACCCTTGAAAGGGAATATAACATAATTCCCATAGTCTAGGTTCTTCAAGGTAATGCAGGTTTGTATCATCAACCGTATCAGCAGCTCAGGCAATGGTTGTCAGTGATGCTCCCGGGAACCTTCGTGCTTTGACCCCTTCACTGAAAAATGCAGCTGTATCTTGCACCCTCTTCGAAGAGGGAGAACGACTACTCCTTGATGGCCCAAGCCAGACGCATCGGATCAAGGCAAGCTTCGTCAAAAGCTCTTAAAATCAAGCCTCAACTCCCAGGGGTTGCCCGGAACTCTAAACCTTGAACCCCAAATCGCAAACCCTAAACGCTTAACCGTGGATGTTGATCTTCAGGAGCCCCTTCCCACCGACATTGACTCGGTAGAGAAGGAGTCCCTGCCTCAGCCTTTCCGGAATAGGGCTCCTAACTATGAATTTACTAACTGTACCGTAGCGCGCGAAACCCTGTTCCAATTGTTGAGGCGCCTACTTTATGCGACTCTAATCCCCCACACAGTCTTTTCTGGAAGAACAAGAAGCTGTCGAAGCAGTTTTATCCGCAGATCGTGAATCTCGAGAAACCCATTGAGAGACTTGAGGGAGGGAATCTGAAGGACTCCTCTGCAGCACTCCTGGAAGAAGGAATAGTCTAGGTGAGAGCTTGATCTGGCTTGCGCGTCTGGGTCAGCAGATCATGGACCCCGAGTCCGAGAGAATCGTGGACTTAGTATGATGCAGCCCTGTCGCACGCACAAAAATGCAGAAGAAAATGTCAATGGTGCGTAGTGCCGAGCAGACTTCCAGAACGAGTTCCTGACACTGGCGGACACTGACATGCCATGAACCACAGTTTCAGTATCAAAGTTGATATTCACCCTAGCTAGCACCAAATCCAAAACCCCTAAATCCTACGCCATAAGCCCTGAACGATGATTTGGGCGATGCATACCTGGACCCTAAGGAACCTACCTTTTTAGGGTTCCCTAATATGATTTCTTTATTTATATAAGTCCTTAAAAAGGTAGGTTACGTGGGGTTAAGGTAATGCAATCGCATCCTGGCGACCCCTATTCGCTATCAAGATTCCTGCATCGCGACCCTTTCAAACTCAAGAGGGTGGCAGACCTCGATGGCGGGTGTAGGTTAATTAATGGCGAGGTGGAGCCCATGATCCGGAGCTGATCGCCGGCATAGAAGAATCAGAGGGGTTGCTAATCAGATTCTCACATCTTTCCCCAAACCCCAAAACCCTGTAAACCCTAGACCCTAAAGCCTCATGGCTAAAGCCTGCACTAGAGGGCTCAAACTTGGAACATAGAAGCCAGAGAACGGTTCAGGGTTTACCAGGACCCCAAGTACCCTTTAAAGGGCTCTAGCATTTCTCCTTAAGAGGTAACTAGGGATTACAATAAAGGGTAGTTGGGGGTCGAGGTAGGGTTTGCTAATTTTTGCCCCTCCAGGCTCTAGCTTGAGGGCATTGCAACGTTCCAGCTTGCCGGCTACAGCGGCTACAACTTCTGGAGAGCCAAAACTTCATGAAAACCCAAATCCCCAAGCCCTGAAGCCAAAGCCCAACAGCCTACGGAGGCTTAGGGTCCCATATTATTATTGTTGTTATTATTAGTATAGCTATACTATAAAGGCGCCCAAAACCCCATTCTGGTCATCAAGGCCCCTACATTAAACCCCCCAGCAGCCTTAAACCAAAGGTACGGCCCCTAATTACTCAGCAATAGTTGAATAATATTCAGATTATTAATCATATTATAGATGTGGTAGGACTTTAGTAGTAGCCCTATTAAAGACTCTTACTGTATGGGGCCGTACCTAACTTAATCCAAAACCTTAGAAGGGGCCCCCACCCTGTAATAGTGGTATAATAGGAGTATAATAGGGCCTTGCTATAATCCTTATAGTCACTATTACAGGGTGGGGGCAGCTTCTAACCTATATTCAATCCCCAAACCCTATACCCTAAACCCTAAACCCCTAAACCCCTAAACCCTAAACTACCCCTAAAGCCCTAAATTTAAATCCCTAAACCCTAATCCAAAGGTTGGCATCGATCTCCGTCAAGAAAATGGAGGCCGTCGAGAAAGAGGTGCGAGCCCCCGTCGGGTTGCTTCGTGTTAGGGCTCTGGTTTAGGGTTTTAGGGGTTTGGGGTTTAGGGTTTAGGGGTTTAGGGTTTAGGGGTTTAGGGGTTTAGGGGTTAGGGGTTTAGGGTTGAGGGGGTGTAGGGTGTGTAGGGTTTAGGATTTAGGGTGTAGGGGGCTTGGGATTTCGTGCTTCGGGTTGTGGTTGTCCGTGGACGGTCCAAACTTCAGAGCTTACTGATAAGAGTTACAGTTAGGGTTCATTTTTTGTAGGCTTGCTTTTTTGTTTATGTTGGTGGATTTAGTGCTTATGGTCTGGGGTTTGGGATGACCTGCTCCGGAATCATATACACGCAGGTATGCAATTCGGGTTCTGCCCAAACTCAGGAAATCCAAACTCCTCCTTCTCTGCCTTCCGTTTTCGATGTAAAAGTCTCACGTATTCCAATACAGATCCTTTCAACGAAGATTTTGGGTTATCTGGGAAAAACATTTTTTTCGCCTTGCCTGCCATCGCTTTGAGGACTTCGATGCTGCGCATGTGCTGAAGCAGCGTGAGCAGGCTTGTTGGAGGGTGTCAGAAAATAAAGGGGCAGATCTCTTGCTACGCAAGCCCGAAACCTTCAATAAATTCTCAGACTCCCCTCCTGTACTTACAACTGCCAACAACTTCCCTAGGGTTCCTTTTTTTTTTTTTTTTTAAATTTTGCCCGTCGAATTCCTATTCTAATTAGGACGGGCGCCTTCACAACTCTTCTTGAAGGCTTTTCGGAGGCATTCTTACCAGAGGGTTTAGGGTTCAGGGTGCTGATATAGGGGCTAAAAATAGTTACCGACACGATTTGGGCGTTCCTTGTTAGATTTATCGTACAAAGGAGCCCAAAATCCTCTTCTACTCATGAGTATCCAGGCCCCTACAGTGGTTTGGACTTCGACTCTGGGAATGAGATGCGAGATGACGAAGACGGACGCATGTGCGTCTGAGTTTTTTTTGTCAAGGGCTCAGGGTGTGGGGCATATGAAAGCAGTAGTCAACAGCGGTTGCAGACGCGCTTCATCTCGAGAGCATGATGAGTTGCGGGGTACAGCTCGTAGGTTGCAGAACGCGGTGGGCCACCATGAGAAGATCAAAATTTCAGAGTGCTTCGAGACGTTCCCCTGTTTCACGCTAAGCCCGAAAGCCCAACGCCATACGTCCGAAGTCCTAGATGCAAGCCCAAACTAGGTTATGTTTGCTCTTATTGGGCTTAAGAGGATCTTACCTACCAATGTTTTTCAAATGCTTCAAAAGCACCTCCTAGCAAAATTGCACCAAATCTCCGGTCCGATTTATTCCCTTGCAGCTGGCAGACGCTGCCCTGGTTCCATACGCCCTGTCTTGAAAGGGAAAAAGAGGGACCCTTAATGGGGACCCCTACCCCATAATCAGGCTATATAATGGGTAGATAATGGCTATATTAAGGGTATATACCTAGGGGTCCTTATTAAGGGTCCCTCCTTTTACCATGCCTAGTGCTTGAACCCCCAATCCCGCAAGCCTGTTAGAAACCGTATGCCCTCGAAGCCCGAAGCCCCGCGACTTATACACCCTCTCAACACTTTAAACCGCAGAAACCCAACCCTATAAGCACTGGAAGCCTAAGAGAACCCTAAACCCTATCTCTATAAGCTCTATGAAGCTTCACAGAACCCTAGACCCCATCCCTTTCAGCCCCACAAGCCCTGTAGAACCCCACCTAATCCCTATCCGCAAGAGGCCCCATAAAGCCTTCTCGAGCCCCAAACCCTATCCCTACAAGCCCCATAAAGCCTTCTACGGCTGATGATGTAAATCTCGCATTACCTTAAGAGCCCTAAACTATGGGAATTATGGTGTATTCCTTATTATGCGTAATGCAGGCTTTATATCATCAACCGTAGCGCCTTAAACTCCATCCCTACGAACCCCTCGATGCAGGCGTTGTCCGAGCAGCTGAAAAAGCTGAAGGCCGAAACTTCCGAGAAGGGCGAACTCTGAGGCAGTGAGCAGCGAGAATCGGCCGCAGGTAGGAAGCTTGAGGGCGCGCCCTTTGCAGGACTGTAAGCTAGGGATCTTAATAAATAGAAGGGGGTTGTGGGGTGGGAGCTTGAGCACCTAATATAGGGATCTCAACAAAGTAAATTGGATGAGGTTTTCCGCGCGAGAAGCGGTGGCAGGTCGGAAGCGTTGGAGCGCAAAAGGGTTCTGCATAATTGGAATCGAGATTGGGGGTTACATGTGTAATCATGGGTGTTAGTTAGTATTTGTTCACCCCCCAATTTTACGGCAGGTCTTGTTGCAAGAGCGAAAATTCAGGGGCAACGGTTTAGTATGAAGGATCGAGGAACTGAGGTTTAGGGTTTAGGGTGGGCGTGATTTCGTTTTGGCTTTAGGGTTTAAGGTATAGGGGATTGTTCACCCTAAACCGCATCGAAGCTTGACCGAAGCTTCAGTTTGGGAGACAGCTTGCTACCTGCGGCCTCTGTGTGTTGGCGAGCCTGTGGCCTGCACCTACTAAGTACTACAGAGATCTGAGCAATCTGCAACGACAGGGACTATCGCTTAGAGTCCATGCATAAGTATAAGAGTGGCGCATACAACACCACTGCATTCTAGTCACGCCCTCACAGTGCACACATTGACGGGGATACTTAGGGGTACTTAGAAATAATTTTAAATTTTTGGTTATTATAATCCCTAAGAAACAGCTAAAGTTATAATTTTTGCTAGGGTTCTAAGTTCAGTATTGGATAAACGTTCAGGGGGCGAGGCACAAGGCTTTCGCTTACGGAGGGGGTTTTACGGCTAGGGTTGTTTGATGGGGGTACAAAGGATATCTAGGGTCATGTTCCTATAGAACCCCTAAAACCTAGATATCGGCTGGCGGCAGTATTAACCGCATGCACATGACGGAACATACCATAGTTCCCATGTTCTAGACTACTGGGACCAAAAAACACCTGAAACACATACACGCCTCGTAAAGCCTAATCGAGCCCTAAAACCTAATGGCGAACTCGTTACACAGGGCCTTGTAACGTAATATGTGCTTGTAAACCGGTCAGCTCAAAATCTCTAGTCCCAAAGCCCTGAGATCTTATGGAAGTCTAGAACCTATAGTCCTGTTTCGGAGTCTGTATAGAACCCTAAAACCTACATCCTCGAATCTCTGAACAGAGCCGCAAAACGTATGAGTTAATAAGTGAAGCCTACCGTCTTTACTCCCCAAACTCTCAAACCTTGCAGATCCCTTTTGAACCGTTTAGACCCTCAGCCCAAAAACCCTAAAACCCTAAAGCCTTAACCCCTAAATCCTAAAGCGACCTATATCCTGAAATCTCAAGGGTCAGCCAGGCTCCAGGTCCATGGCAAAGGCCTCCGACAGCTCTTAGAGCTGACTTTGGGGCTTTGCCATCAGAGCGTTTGCAGCTTTTAGCTCCCAAACCCCAAAGTCTGGTGCCCAACATTGCCGTTTCGTGGCTTAGGGTTCAACTCCAAGCCAAACTATGTAAGATTTCTATTTAAGATTTCCGTTTAGGGCGCAAACCTTTATCCGGCATCAGCCTGGGGAAAACTACAAGACCTGCAAGCACTTGGTGCTTGCACAAAAACGGCCGCGGTGCCACCAGCAGACCATCAAAAGAGAGGAGTTCCGATTTCTTTTGCAAGGGGAACCCGAGACTGAATCTCTAAACGGCTTTAGTTTGAAAGCGTTACTGAAGGCATTCTTCAAAACCTAAATCCTGACAGATGACCGGATAAGCGTTTCTTTCCGTTTTAGAGACGTCACGGCTCATCTAACAAGCGATGCAGAAAGGAGAAGAGACCATCTCTCTCGCTCCCTCTCCCTCTCCCTCTCGCACTCCCGTTCTCCCTCTTATGTATGTATAGACATATGCCATTACATAATACTATTGTACAATACCATTAAAATACTATATTATTCTTATTAGTATTCGTATTACTGCTCTAAGTATTATCTCCCTCGTTTTCTTGATCTGAGCAGTCTGGGGGAGGGCGCCCACCTGGGATGCCCGGTTTGGGGTCGCTAAGGTCGAGATCGCCATCATCATCAGGGTACTTCTCGAAGTAGGGCCCCTTTCAGAGTCTTTTCTTTAAAGGTTACATGTTTTTGCGATCTACAAAGGGACTCATCATCATACACATCATTATCATGATCATCTAGGATCCCCAGTAGTACCCTTATTCCCTTTTTGTAGTCCTAGGTTCCTTATAAAGTTACCCAACACCAAACAGAGAGGCCTTTTTGTTCTTAGGTTACTGGGTATCCTAGGTTTAGGATCATCGCCACCATCACCAGCAGCATCAGCAGCAGCCTCGCCATCATCACCATCGTTGTGATAATCTTTATCACTGGCATCGTTGTGATAATCTTTCTGAGCGCCATCACCGTCACCATAAACACGGCCGAAGGATTCTCATTGCACTCGGAACGGAAGTATACAAAATCATCGCAATCCAGGTCACCGTGTCTCTTGAGTTGATCTTGTTCTTCTTACTAGTAGTATTATTACCGTGAAGAAGAAGAAGTCAGTGTGACAACAGCATCTCGGCCAGCACGAACAACAAGAGCACGAGGAGTCGTAACGAAACTGCAGAGCCTTCTTGCGTCTGTGCTGCAGTGGATGCAGTCTGCAGCGGATGTTTCTGAGCTTTCGCAGCGCGACAAAACGGCTAGGTACAGCCACACAACTTAGAAGCTCAAGAAGGGTTCAGCCTTCACTCATTTGAAGCCCCCATTGGTCCCGAGCCCTTAGCGTGCATAGCCGAAGCCACCACTCCAGAGGCCTGACATTGCCTAACCCTGACTGCAGCCAAAACCCTGAGCCATAAACCCGAAAACCCGATCAACCCTGAAACTTTAAAGAGCCAGCAAAACTATAGCTCACCTTACAAGCGCTCAAAAAAGCCCTGCCCCAGCGCCCTGAACCAAACGCTCCCGATCTCCATGGCTCAGCGGCGTGGCCGCTTTAGCCGGAGGCTCAGTCGATCCTTTCTATACACAGTCTATTTTTATTTTTGTGTAGTCTAGTCTAGTCTTGATAAGTTGTAGTGTATTATGGTGTAATATACTTTCGTATAGTAGTCTTTTTGGGAGCGTCCCGGAGACTCCAAAACGCGCAGGTTGAGGACCGCAGACATAAGGGTTCAGGGACTTAGAGGATTCTAGGGTTGAGGGTATTGGAGGTCCAAGGATTAGGGTTTAGGCTGTAGGCTGTTACGAGTTTAAACTTAGGGCTTTACTGCGGTTGTTACGGGTCTTTATGTGTTAAGGCTTTACGAGTTTTCTGGAGGGTTTAGGGTGAAGGTTCTTTGGGTTCAGGGTAGGGCCTTCTTTGAATTAAAGGCACATACAGTGGACCATAATTACTCAGGATACCCCCCATGGTTGGATGCTTATTCCTTGTGCAAGGTAACCCCTACTATAGACCCCGAGTTGAATGGGGTTTATGTAACCCTACCAAAATGGACAGGTTAACCGGTTTTGGGCTATGGAACTCAGACCCCCTAAACCCTGAACCCTAAACCCTAAACCCTAAACCCTAAATCTCTAAGAAAGGTGCGTTGCTTGATGACATTTGGAGGGCTTAGGGGTCCCCAGGGTCCTTAAAGGACACAACAACAGTGGCCTCGGTCCTTTTTAGGGATGAGTAGCTAGGATGCCCAGTAGTACCCTTATTCCCTTTTTGTAGTCCTAGGTTCCTTATAAAGTTACCCAATACCAAACAGAGAGGCCTTTTTGTTCTTAGGTTACTGGGTATCCTAGTTAGGGTACCAAAAGGGTTTCTTCAAAGCGTCTTGGAGTCTAGGGTTTACCCAAAGGCCCCAAAGTAGTTCCTTTTTGGGGTTCGTATATATTAAGGTAAAAGGAACTACTATGGGGCATGTGGGTAGGGTTTCAGGTTAAGGGTTCGGGATTTCAGGTTTTAGAGTTTAGGGTTTATGGCTTGGGGCTCTTGTTTGGTAGCGGTTTCAGGGATATCCTTGAACAAAGCTTATCTTGATCAAAGCCATGGTAGCATCTGTACCCCAAAACTCTGTAAAGCCTGACGTTTAAATCCCAGGCCCGAAATCTTACGCTCTAAGCCCCAGACTCTCAACCCTAATCACTACCCAGAGGCCCCACAGTAGTTCCTTTTTGTGATTACCTTATAGGATTCTTTATACTAATATGAACCCAAACAGGAACTACTTTGGGCCCTCTGGGTAAACTAAATCCGAAAAAGCTTTTTGAAGCCCGAGCCCGAACGAGGTTTCGGGATGATCTGAAGTGTGCGCTTTCCGGCTGTTGGAAGTGCTTTGTCAGGGGTGTTGTGAGGGTTTAACCCCCAAAAGAACTCTAGGATCCCCACTAGTACCCTTATTCCCTTTTTGTAGTCCTAGGTTCCTTATAAAGTTACCCAATACCAAAAAGAGAGAGGCCTTTTTATTCTTGGGTTACCGGGTATCCTAGAACTTGAACCCTAAGTTTCGTAACGGTCTTGAAAGCTTTGGAGGTTGGGGTTTAGCGGTTCGGTTTTGAATCTGCAGGTTTAAACGGTTTAGGGTTTAGGGTTTAGGTTTTAGGGTTTAGGGTTTAGGGTCCTCAGGTGGCAACTTCTGCGAATTTTGGGTTCAGGGTTCAGGGTTTTGGGGCAAGGGTTGTGCCTGAGCTTCACGAGTATGAAGAAAATTCGACAGGTGGTAATGGAGGCGCTTGACGACCTGCTGTCTGATCCTGATTGCGAAGGAGTTGTTGCGTTTAGTCTAGGGTTTACAGATTCCGGTGCTCTTGCTAATGTACGAGGGAGTCCTTAAGATCTACCTGCATTGCGATAGTTTGGGGCTTCGAAGGCTTCAGTGTTCTTCAGACCTGATCATCCCAGGGTTGGGGGTTCAAGCTTGAGGCTTTAGCAACCATGTTGCTGCCGTTTGTGGTCATGGCTGCTTGGGTGGTTTAGTTTCTACTGAGGACTGCTGTCATGTGTCATCATCGT